TTTTTTTATAGCAAAACTCATACTTAAAATTGTATGTTTTCCAACAAACTTTTTGAAATCTCCATGAACTCTGTTAGCTCCTATGACAACTGTGGGAGCTGTGTATCTTTAGAGGTCAGAGCTCCTATGACACAGTTAGGAAGCTGATGGATACTGGAGGTCACACAGCTTGTGTACACCAGACTCCAGATTAGAACCCTAGCAGGATGGTTTTGAATTCTAAGATCTTAGCCAGAATGGCTACAGTCTTGTCTCTGTGGGGTTGAGTGCATTTGTCTAAGTGTGGACATAGGGCTATGTGCTGTAGGTTGGTGAGCCCAGGAAGGGACAGCTTACAGAAAATCCAAATGAAAGAGAAAGCAGTGGACCTGAGAGTAGCATGCACTGGCAGGTAGTGCTACTTGCAGGTCGAGGCTATGTGGGAGGTCTGGGTTTGATGCCAAGCCTGCCATAAGCCAGGGCCAGTAGGTGGCATCGAGGTTATTCTGTCTTTCTCTGGGAGTGCAGACACCTTATAAGAAAGAAAGAAAGAAAGGAAAAAGGTTGGCAAGGATGGGAGACTGAGGCAGGAAGATCACAACATAATAGGACCCTATCTTAAAAAAATGCAGCCAGTGTGCCTGTTTGCAGAGAATCAGCCACTACACCTTAGATGGCATTGGAAGGGCTTAGAGGACAAGGACTAACAGGACAAGGACTTGGTACTTTTTTCCTTGAGGCAAGGGGAAGTCAGAGTGGAAGTAAAGTAGGGTGTGACATGAACAGATTAACCTTTTATAAACATGAGGAGGAAGTTTTTTGATAAGTGGATTAGGGAAAGGCAAGAATGCATTAAATGCTCACTCATGAGATTTTACCAGAATTATCTTTGTCTCATGAATTGATGAAATCAGGATGACTAGTCCGATCAGACCAGGTGAGGCTGACACAAAGCATGAAATGACAACTAACAAATCGATTAGAGTGCCAGCTGGTAGCACGGTAGTTAAGCCCTGTGTACAGGGAGCCATATGTCATATGGCCAACTGTGGTTTGAGTCCAGGCCCCAGGAGCTTGAAAAGCACACTGAGCCTGTATGTGTGTGTGTGTCCAGAATTCCAACAAGATGGAGAAATGGAGGAGAAGGGAGTGTGGCATGACCACATCCCACCAGCGAGTGCTTTCTCCTCTCTCACAATCTCTCTGGTGAACGTACACACCTTCTTACTATTAAAATTTAATTAACTTGGAAAAAATTAATTAACTTGGGACCAGCAAATGGCAGAAGGGACTCACACAGAGTCAACTGCAGTTCGAGTCCTGGACCTGGTGGCTTAAAACTCATGCTGGATGCGTGTGCGTGGGTGCCCAAAATCCCAAGAGGAAAGTGGAGGAGAAGGTATCGCAGTATGGCCATCCTCCCTAGGGAGTGATTTCTTGCTTTCTGTCTATCTCTATCTCTCTGGCAAGCACATGTGCCCTATAGTAAAAATTCTAAAAAAAAAAAAATAAATAAACTATCATAGGGGAGTGTGTGTATATAAATACATAATATATACATACACACATATATATTATATATATATATCATATATATATTATATATATAGGGATTCAGTACTATCTGGTTTCAGGCATTCACTTTGGGTCTTGGAGAATATATTTTCCATGCATAAGGGGTTGCAATCATATTTTCTTTGCTTGATCAATGTTTCATAGAGATGATAGAGGCCTTCTCCCTCTGGAACCCAAGCAGAAAACTTGAGAATAATTTTTGCTGTAAAAACTTTCTCTAATCAGGGCCAGCAGATGGCATAGTAATGTCGTTGGACTCCCACATGGCCAACTGTGGTTCGAGTCCCGGATCCAGCAGCTTCAAACTCATGCCAGGTGCGTGTGCGTGCATGCCCAAAATCCCAAGAGGAGGGACCAGCAGTTGGTGTAATGGCTATGTCTCTGGACTCCCATGTAGTCAACGGCAGTTTGAGTCCTGGACTGGGTGGCTTAAACTCACACCTGACGTGTGTGCGTGTGTGCCCAAGATCCTGAGAGGAGAATGGAGGAGAAGGAATTGCGGCATGGGCATTCCCCCAGGGGGGTGATTTCTCATATTCTGTCTCTCTGTCTCTCTCTGTCTTTCTGGTGAGCGCACATAAAAGCCAAAAAAAAAAAAAAAAAAAAATTCCAAGAGAGGAATGGAAGAGAAGGGATTGCAATGTAGCCATCCTTCCTGGGTGGGTGGAGTAATTTCTTGCTTTTGTCTCTCTGTCTCTCTCTGGCAAGTGCACACACCCTAAAGCAAAAATCTTTTTTTAAATATATAATTAATTTTTTAAAAGAATTATTTTATTTAATTTCACTTATTATTTTTTGTTTTAATTTGACCAGAGAGAGACATAGAGACAGAGGGAAAGTGAAAAATCAAGTCACCAAACCGTGTTTGGTCATGTGGGAGTCCAGTGCCTCAACCACCATACCACCTGCTGACCCTGAAAGAGTTTCTTAAAAAGAAAAAAAAGCTTTCTTATGTTAAGGATGTTTTCTTGTAGTCCTAGTTTAATTAATTAATTAAAGGTTTTTGCCATAGGGTGCTTGCACTCACCAGAGAGAAACAGATGGAAAGTGAGAAATCGCCCCTCAGGGGAATAGCCATGCAGCAACCCCTTCACCTCCATTCTCCTCTTGGGGTTTTGGGTACACACACGCATGTGCTCAGTGTGATTTTTTAAGCCACCGGGTCTGAGATTTGATCCATGTAGTCAGCCTTGTGGGATCCAGTGCCTTAACCTCCATGCCACCTGCTGGCCCCTATGCTCCTACTTATTATTATTTTTTTTTAGAGAGATTTTTCCTATAACGTGCGTGCACTCTTTAGAGAGACAGAGGGACAGAAAGGGAGAAATCCCCCCCCGGGGGTATGGCCAGGCCATAATTCCTTCTCCTCCATTCTACCCTCAGGATTTTGGGCACACACTCACACACATGCCCAATGTGAATTTTAAGCCACTGGGTTCGGGACTCGAACCACTGTCAACTATGTAGGAGTCCAGCAACATAACCATTATACCATATGCTGGTCCCATGTTCCTAGTTTATTAAATGCAGTTTTCAGAAAAGTGCTGACTTTCATTAAACCTTTTTTTAAAAGAATTATTTTATTTAACTTTATTTATTTATTTACTTATTTATTTTTAATTTGACCAGAGAGAGACAGAGAAAGAGAGAGTGGGAAAGTGAGCAAGCAAGCTACCAGGTCTGGGACTCGAACCATGGTCAGCCATGTGGGAGTCCAGTGCCCTTAACCACCACACCACCTGCTGCCCCATCATTAAACATTTTTAAAAAAATATTTTATTTATTTTTTAAATTCCATTTGTTATAATTATTATTTTAAATTGGACAGGAGAGACAGAGAAAGGGAAAGCGAGAAAGCAAACCACCAGGTCCGGGACTCAAATCGCAGTCAGCCCTGTGGAAATCCAATGCCCTTAGCCACCATGCCACCTGCTGGCCCCTTGTCCCGGCCCACGGGACAATCGAGCAGGGTGCCTGATTGAGAGAGCGGAGGTCTGGAACCGGCACAGCATCACAACACAGGAGCAACACAGTGTCACAGCTCAAGATGGTATGCAGTCGCTGGTTTGTTGAGGGCCAGAGAACATTCTTATATACACAGGGTAGGAAGCTGATTGGTCGTACAATGAGGGATGCAATTCTACAACCACCGACTGGTTGCTGCGTTAAAGGGTAAAGCCATGAGGCGAGGTAAAAAGGGGGCAGGAATTTGTCGCGGACCTGATCGAGGACCTGTCTGAATGAGGAAGTCTCAGGGTGAATTGTCTACTCCCTGAACAAGGATACTTGAAGGTCCTTGTATGAAGGTCATGTCAGCCATTTTGGTGCATGTGACTTCCTACAGCCCCTCGTTAAACTTTTTTAATGTATCCACTGATCATGTTCTGTATTCTATTATGTAGCAGAGTGAATGAATTTTTTATTTTTTAACCCAACCTTCTTGCATTTTAAAAATAAACACTAGGGAACAGCAGTTGGTATAATGGCTATGTCACTGGACTCCCACATAGTCAGCCATGGTTTGAGTTTCGGACCCAGTGGCTTAAACTCATGCTGGGTGCATGTGCATATGTGCTCAAGACTCAAGGAGAAGGGATTGCGGCATGGCCATCTCCCCTAGGGGTTGATTTCTCACTTTCTGTCTTTCTATCTTTCTTGCGAGCACATATGCCCTATAGAAAAAGCAAACAAACAAAACAAAAAAAAACTCTCCAAAAATCAATAAATAAAAATAAAACAAAATAAACACTTATTCATGATGTATTTTTCTCCTTATATGTGAGCGGATTTGATGTGCAAATGCTTTGGATTATTTTAATGTATTTGGAAGGTTTGTTCTCAGAGAAGTGTTGACGTCTTTAACTAACATTGGTAGTGCACCCTCTTTTCTATGTTCAGTAAGAGTTCATGTAAGAATGGAGTTATTCCTTTGAATATCTGCTAGAATTCACCCACGAAGTATCTAGGTGTGACATTTTGGTTTACTTCTTTGTCTTTAATTATGCCAGTGGTGGGAACCAGCAGTTAGCGTAATGGCTATGTCGCTGGACTCCCACGTAGTCGACCGCGGTTCGCGTCCCAGACCTGGTGACTTAAAACTCACACCGGGCGCGTGTGTGTGCATGCCCAAGATCCCGAGAGCAGAATGGAGGAGAAGGGATTGCGACGTGACCATTCCCCCGGGGGGGTGATTTCTCGCTTTCTGTCTCTATGTCTCTCTCTCTGTCTGTCTGGCGAGCACACGCGCCCTATAGTGAAAATCTCTCCAAAAAAAAGAAAAAAGAAAAAAAGAATTATGCCAGTGGTGCAATTAATTACATCTCTCTTTAATTTTTAGCTTGTCATCTTTGAGTGACCACCAGTTGTTGAAACAGATTCCCTCAGGTACATAAGACAGCAGAGACTGAATTGCTGAAATCGAGCATCTCTGAGGACTGTTGTTAAGTATGGATTTAGATCTTAGAATGTCAATTCAATGTGAATCTTCCAGGAATGATCTTGGGTCAGAAAATCGAGAGTCTAAACAAACCCAAGGGCCTGCTGATCAGAAGGGAGAGGGGCTTTCTAGATTCTCAAGCACTCAGCTCAACTCATGTGCAAGGCAGGAACTGCAAAAACTCTTTGAGTTTTTTTACTCATGGCTGCAGCCAGAAAAGCACAGCAAGGATGAAATGATTTCTCAGCTGGTCCTGGAACAGTTTATGATCAGTGGACACTGCAGGGACAAGTCTGCTTTGAAAGAGAAATGGGAATCAAGTGGCAGAGACCTGGAGAAATTCATGGAAGACCTCACTGATGATTGCATGAAGCCACCTGCCTTTGTGAGTAGAGGGTTCAGACACGGGGTAGACACAGGGTAGTAAGGAATAAGTACAGTCAGTTGGAGTTACCTGGAAGTAGAGAGAATTAGTGTAGGTGCAGTCACTACTCAGATCACACTCTCCCACGACTCTTCTTCACCAGGAGAATCTTCAGTGTACTAAGATAGCAAGAAAAAAGCTAAAAGGGGGGCTAGCAGGAGGCATGGTGGTTAAAGGTGCTGAACTCCCACATGGCCAACCACAGTTTGAATCCCAGTCCTGGTGGCTTGCTTTCTCATTTCTCTCTCTTTCATTCTGTCCCTCTCTGGTCAAATAAATAAATAAAGAAAGAAAGAAAGAAAGAAAGAGAGATTTTTGCTATAGGGCACGTGTGCTTGCTGGAGAGACAGAAAGCAAGAAATCATCCTCCAGGGGGGTATGGCCACACCACAATCCCTTTTTTTTCCATTTTCCTCTCAGGATCTTGGGCTCACATGCACACATGCCCAGCGTATCAAGTCAATGGGTCCAGGGCTTGAAACGGTCGACTACGTGGGACCAGCAGATGACATAATGGTTATGTTGCTGTACTCCCACTTAATCGACCACAGTTTGAATCCTGGACCTGGCAACTTAAAACTCAACTGTGTGTGCATTCGTGCCTGAAATCCCGAGAGGAGAAAAGAGAAGGAATTGCAGCATGACCCTTCCCCCTGAGGGGGGTTATTTCATAGTTTCTTGTCTCTCTGGCAAGTGCATGCACCCTATAGCAAAAATCTCCCCCCCGCAAAACAAAACAAAACAAAAACTAAAAGGTATGGATCTCTTTATTTGTAGAACATATAGGACCTAAATACATTGTTTGGTTGAGTTAATTTTAGTGGCAGAGGGACTCTGAGAAATTGCTAGTTGAGTAGATAACTCAAGGATGAGGAAAAAATGCCTTGGAAAGGATTGGTTCTTCTCTCAAGGAGCCTTATTAACAAATAACCACAAAAGATTACCAGAGAAGCAATAGAGTGGATTCTCATTCTCAAATTCAGTATTTATAATATTACTACAATTTACTTGTCACATCAAAATTAATACCTGAAGCAGGTTTTTCAGCCATCTGCAGTTGTGTGCAGAGTGAAAAATTTGATAAGCACATTCCCAGGTGAGCTTTAGTTTTGGCTCTATATGTGTCATTTTCAGAGTCTATTTAGTACCATATTTTCAGACTTTCTGTGGTTTTGATAACTTCATAACTTTAAAAAGTCACCTAAGCGGGTCAGTAGGTGGTGTAGTGGTTAAGGACCTGGACTCCCACATGGCGACTGTGATTTGGGTCCAGGATATGGAAGCTTGTTCTCTCCTTTTCCTTCTGTCACTCTCTCTCATTCTCTCTGTCTCACTCCGTTGAGTGCACATGCCCTATAGCAAATTTTAAAACAATAATAATCATAAATTAAAATTAAATAAATCTTTTTTTTTAAGAGAGTTGTTTTGCTATAGGGCACATGCACTCTCTGGAGAGACAGACAGAAAGCAAGAAATCACCCCGGATTTTGGGCATGCACACACATGCAGCTGGCATGAGTTTGAAGTTGCTGGGTGTGGGACTCACAACATGGTCAATTACATGGGAGTCCAGCAATGTAACCAATACACCATCTTCTGTTCCCTTTTTTTAAATTTTATTTTATTTTATTTTTTAAGATTTCTGCTATAGGATGTGTGTGCTTACCGGAGAGATAGGGAGAGATAGAGACAGAAAGTGAGAAGTCATCCCCCGGGGGGTATGGCCATGTTGCAATCCCTTTTCCTCCATTCTCTCAGGATTTTGGGCATGCACACACATGCACACATGTGAATTTCAAGCTGTTGGGTCAGGAAATTCAACCATGGTCAATTATGTGGGAGTCCAGTGATGTAATTACACAGTCTCACCATCTGCTGGTCCTTTTTTTTTTTTTTTGGAGAGGTTTTTCACTATAGGACGTGTGCGCTCGCCAGACAGGCAGAGAGAGACAGAGAGACAGAAAGCGAGAAATCACCCCCCGGGGGCATGGTCACGCCACAATACC